CATTTATGACAATCCACCCATGTGTGGCCAGCCGGTGTAATGTTGACATATGCTGTTGACATAAGAAAAACTACCAGATACCCGTCAGTCGAAGGACATCTCTGTTTAAAGGCGGAGAGCAAGCCATTTTGGGAGTTACAGTACAATGCTTTGAAAACTATTCAAACATGAAGGTGTCTTGTCTAGGCATACTGACATAACTTTTAATAATGCATATAATTCAGCAAAACACAAACCAGGAATAAAATTTTTGGCTTTCATGTTTTAAAACTGTATATTTCATAATAATACATGGCAAGTTGATAAAAAAAAGAGTCTGAAAACTCTAAGGTTTTTTTAAACAAATGATAAGTGATAACTTTCAGAAAATGTTGATCAACAAATTATATATTGTATGAACTTTTTACTTTATTAATGTAATAGCCTGTTAATTTTGAATGAGGTTTGTGATTTTTCCAACCACGTTAACAAAATGTTGGTCTAAATACCGTTTAAAACCTGATTTGTTTGATTTAGCAACAAATCAATGAAAATTAAATATTTAAAAGAAGAAACTTCAATGGAGAAATACAGAATTTGATGCGTTTAAAACTACCTTTCATGCTAGGTTAATTTCGTTTCAGTTTACCAAACATATCTAATAGTTCTCAAATCTTACGATTTATGCTTCTAATGGTTAAAAATCTGTAAATTTGAAAGTTAAAAAAGCAGCTGTGGTTGCCAGGTAACAGGGAAAATGTATATTTAATTAACCGATACAATGTTCATACCGACCAAGTGAAGTATTAAAATCTGTTTTATAGCCTACCTTTATAATATACTAACAACCAAAGTTTATCACAAGTAGCTTTTCCACAAGCTGAGATTAATACTAATATATAGAAAGCGCAGTGTCTTTCACACAAATACCATCCTGGTAACATGATTCGTGGAAAGTGCCACATTATTTACATTTATATGCTACAGTTTGAGACAAGAACAATAAAACTATTTGGAATTTTTTACACCAAACCATATACCATTATGACATCAGGCGAACGATACAACATCAAATACAAACAGACTACTGCATGCATTGATTTCCTCTCACATTTAGGAATGTGGTTTGAACAGTGCTCTAAAGGCAGAGGCTGGAAGGGGGCACGAATGAAATACCCACTCAGTCTCACAGTCACCCTGTAATCACATCACTCTTTCTGAGAAGCAGTGACCTGGTAAACAGAGATCACCCATGCTAACTCCTCTCTTCTTCTCTCCGAGTCAAATCAGCTTCTTTCAGTGCACAGATGATAAGTCCGTTAACTCCTTTGTTTAAAATGCACATGCGTGTAATGATCATTACAGCTGGAGTAGTAGAAGGACTTTGGGGGGGTTGGGGGGCCCGGAGTTTTAGAGTGGGGTTTGAGTACTGCTCTTGACTAACAAACACAAAAGACAGAGTATTATGTCAGGGTCGACATCCTGGGACCCTCTGACATCCAGGACCACCAAAGATCTCAGTAATTTCTACTTAATTGAAAATGCCTGTGGCTAAGGCATTTTCAAAACATTTAGGAATGTGGTTTGAACAGTGCTCTAAAGGCAGAGGCTGGAAGGGGGCACGAATGAAATACCCACTCAGTCTCACAGTCACCCTGTAATCACATCACTCTTTCTGAGAAGCAGTGACCTGGTAAACAGAGATCACCCATGCTAACTCCTCTCTTCTTCTCTCCGAGTCAAATCAGCTTCTTTCAGTGCACAGATGATAAGTCCGTTAACTCCTTTGTTTAAAATGCACATGCGTGTAATGATCATTACAGCTGGAGTAGTAGAAGGACTTTGGGGGGGTTGGGGGGCCCGGAGTTTTAGAGTGGGGTTTGAGTACTGCTCTTGACTAACAAACACAAAAGACAGAGTATTATGTCAGGGTCGACATCCTGGGACCCTCTGACATCCAGGACCACCAAAGATCTCAGTAATTTCTACTTAATTGAAAATGCCTGTGGCTAAGGCACGCACACAGCAGACTTTATATTACGGAGCACGGCCCATGACAGCAATACATATCTGAGATATCTAATTTCTCATCCGTTTTTAATGTAATCTCCTTAAGAGCAGGAATGTACTATCATTTTTACAAAGACATCAAAACCACAGACAGAAGATTCAGGAGACTTTTGCCCATAATTGTAATCAAAAGAGTCTGAATTTAATTTTGCAGGTTTTCCACTGACAAACGTTTATAGGTCTCTTGAGAGAGAAAACAAGTAAAAACTAAAGCCATATGTTTGCTGGGTATTAAAAATGTAAGTCAATAAAAATACACAGGTCTGTTCTGCTCACCAACTCTTGGAATATTTGCTGTTGCTTTAAATGCACAGGCAATTCAATCATCTTGTATGAGCCAAATTCATTCATAGTACACTGAAACAAAAAAACTGGTGTAGGATTTACTTCGAAACTATTTTCAGTCATAAACTGCAAAAAATAAAAATAAATTACAAAGAAATTTCAAGTATCAATGAACTAAACATGACATTTTGAAGTAACTGAAATAAAAACTGAAATAGTATTTTCTTGTAGAACGTATTTCATTTGCAACTTCGAAAAAACGTTTTCTACACTGTGAACATCATTCAAACCTTGTAGGTACAAAGCCCAATTATTTAGATTGGACTTCTGCTATCCTAAGACTTGACAGCACACAAGATTGTAGACTGTAAACAAGCAAAACCTGTGAAATCTGGGAACGTACAAGCTTTCACCATTCCTTAAAACCACATCAACGATGAACTTACAAGACAATGAGTCATGCTTAGTGTTAACAGCTTGCTTGCATTATCTCATTGGCTGTAATAACTTCGAGCCTGCAAATTCCATTAAAGCAGCGACTTGAGCACCAGCTGAAAGTCATTAGGCATGAAATAAATCATTGACTTTGATATAGGTTGGCTTCAGCGGAGTAGTTTTGTTGGCCATTAATGGTCAGGGGCTGCATCTTTGCCCGTTTTCATAATCCTAAACAATCTGTAATCCAATCCTACCCATGATGCCACACTCTCTCTCTCTCTAGAGTACCCTTCAAGACCACTCTTGACTTCCTTAACAGCAGCGCTCGTGTATTAAAGCACACAGCCGAGGTGCAGATTCAGATTCAAAGAGTCCTCTACAGGGTCTTCAAAATTCAAATTTAATTGCTTTTGCATTTATTTGCTTGCTAAACACTTTCTTAGCAAACCGACACTGTATCTTGTGACAAAAATATCAGAATAGGTAGAATGATAAGCATAGGGCGATAAGAACCAAACTGTATGGCGCAGGAAGTGTGGAGCATTAGTGTGTTCAAAGTTGCTCAGTTTTTTTCTCCTTGCAGCAATAACTTCAGGCTCGAAACGTGTACCTTTCACAGCACAAAAAGCATCGTGCTAGACAAACACAGACTTTCATGCATTTACACGTTTTGCTGAACTGCAGAAAATCCACAACAAAGTGCACTGCAACTGAACGCTTTTAAACCAGCACATGCCTCCAAGGCTCGGAACTAAATCCATAGCGTATGAATAAAGATACAGTGCTTGTGTTTATATCTTTCTATCCACATCAAACAGAAAGAATGTGGACCACAGTCTTCTGGGATCTGAGGAGAGCAGGTAGGGAGGAAGGCAATCAGATGGGGGGCTTTGTGCACAGACTGAATCAGTCCCACTGGCAGCGTGACCCCCGTTTAGCCACATACCATCAATTTCTGTCTATTTGTTCTATAGATACCACACACCACTGTCACAATCTCCGTCCCCCCCCCCCCCCTTCTCTCTTTCTCACTCCTCCAACTCCTGCTCCCCTCCTCCCTCTCTTTCTGAATTGCTAAAATGAAAAATCTTGAGTGGAGTTGATATAGGCTGACTTGCCTCTGCAGTAAAATTACACTATATAGATTATATCTGAAAGCCCTTCCCCTCCTTCCCTCCCTCTTCCTTTCCTCCCTACCCCCGCCAACCTCTTTTCTCTCCTCTCTGGTTTTATAAACTCAGCAAAGATATTAACAATTTACTGCTGCACATCAAAATTACATCTAACAAATGAATCACTGAAACAATGCAGTTAAATTGTGCTTTCAAGGATTTTTTTTAAATAGTCTGTCACTAAAATTGTGATTCGTCCATAAAACATTTCACTGTGTATGTAACTGCTCTTAGACATGGATATGAGACCCATGGCAGTGAATCAAGAAGCACTGAAAGGAATAATACAACCCCAACCCCCACTATATCACCCCACAGTAACCCTACCCCCTCCTCATTCACTCTCTCTCACACACACACCCTCTCTCTTCCCCATCTCTCTTTATCCTGCGCATATGCACTGCACACACACAGTAACAGCACCATCATTAGGAGAAATAGAGGAATACAAACCCCACATATCTCTGTTGTTCCTCAGGGACTGGAGGATAAATTAATGCCATAGGTATAAAGTATGATTAATGAACATACACACTACACACTATATGTTACTATTTGTTATTTGTGCATGTTGTGTAAAGGACAGTTTGTTGATGTGCATGAGTTTGGGGCTGTGATGAAGAGCAGGTGTATTTAAGAAAGCGCGCTACTTTTTGCTACCAACTTAAATGGTGCATTTTATTATTATTTTAAATTTTATTTAACGTTACATTCCGCGCGCGGTGTTTCTATGACAACCCGCAACCGCGTTTTTAAGTTCGCTACGTAAAAGGCACGTGAAAATGCTGATGAGCGCGTTTAAGAGTTAAACATATAAACATTTATAGTGAAGAAAAAATAAACAAATAATAAACAAAGTCACCCGGTTTGGATACATTTGTGGCCCCGCGCTCAATCGCTCCTACTTTCCCCGACTCTCTGTGACAGTCGAGTAAAGTACAAACTTTGAACAAGTCCTCAACAGTTCCTTCAAGTTCAGCCAGGCAAAACTCAAACAAAACACGTTCATGAATATCCATATCATAAAAGATCATGCATCATAAAATGAAGCTTTACCTTATTGCAATACGGAGAGTCCGAATAGTGTGACTGTCCCAGTCGGGAAGGATCTGTTGCTGATGGTGGTGGAGGTTGTGGATAAAATCTCACGTCCATTTCAATAAAAACATCAACCGGTCCCTATTGCCTTTCCACTAGAAAGCGTGTTCCTCGCTTACTCAGAAATCTCGACGCAAATAAGAGAAGGTGCAAAGTGAAGACTGAAAAGAGGCTCTCTATTGCGCCTCACATCCGCTCCGCGGTTTTCGCAAAAACTTTTAAATGAACCTCTAACGTTACCTCAGTCGACTTACAATAGAAAGATACCGCAGAAAAAACGAGCGCTCAGGTTTGGAGAGAACAAGAGCATCTGGTGAGTCTGTGTAGACTGTTGTGAGTAGAGATGTGTATCTTCTTGGTGCAGCTGTGGCTCAGTGTTACTGCTCTATGGAGAGAAGCGAGCGCTTTGCCAATGTTCACACACAAAAGACTCGCAAGACACGCGGCGCTACCGCTGAGCGGCCACAGGGGGCGCTGCGATGTGCGCTCCAGCTTCAGCATTTGCATCACTTTGCGTATGATACTGTCTAAACATTAGGTGACGGAAGATTACGTTTAGCTGTGCCAGTATCGCTCTTCAATACGAACATATTTTTGACAGGAGTGTCTTTAGAATGAAAATGTAATGATAAACAAGAGTCTACAGCAGTGGTTCAAACCTGTAGGACTCAGCAAACTTCCAAATTGGGCCCCAAGATGAACTAGATTATTTAAAACAGTCTTTTGTCTTTAAATATTGTTTAATTTCACATGCAGTTTACAAGTTAAACTTCACATTTTAAACACTGAATCCTGCTAAAAATCAGGAAGTCAACCATGTAAACTGGCATCATATTTTTATCATCATCATTTGTTTTTATTGAAGAACATACAGTTCTTTAAAGTTATGGAATCACAGTTTTAATGTATCAACACTATGGGCCCTATATCAGGAGACGTGCTGATATCGCGTTTGGTCTCGTTCTGTATCGCGTATCTTTGTCAGGGTCCAGCCTTTGTTTTATTTGCTCTCTGCAGTTTGTTTTTGTTTCTCTTTGGGGTTTTTTTCATTCTAGTCAGTGTGTTATTTTGCTGCTGCTTGTTCTCTTTTGTGGTCTTGTCTTGTGTGTTGTGTTATGTCTTGTGTTTGTTCCTGTTCTGTGTTCTGAATCCCTCCTGGCTGCTGTTCTCAAGACCTGGCTATCTGACTGGACTGGTATCACTACAGCTCCAAGTATCAAGCCCTGGTTTCTCGAGCTGCTACCTGATATCCAGTGTTCTCATTGACTGGGGCTGCTCTATCTCCTTTGTTCTCCAGCAAGACTTTGTTCAGGTCTGACCAAGGACCAGCAGACTGCCCTTTCCTACTGTTTGGACTCTCACATCATCCCATTCGTTCCTTGTCTTGTCAATAAACCTCACTCCCTTGATCATTCTGCATCTGGGTCTCTCTCGTATACTGCTGTGACAGAACCGTGATAGAACGAACCAGCCATCCCCAGACCCAGCAGCAATGAGCACCTGTATAGTTCCTCCCGGTACCGCCAAGGAGAGACGGGCACTCCAGCAGGCAGTGGTATCGCTCCACCAGCAGGGCCGGGATGTGCGTTCATTTGCCCAGTTCTTCTGGACCATGGCAAGGGGCCTGGAGTACCAGGATTCAACCCTTAAAAAGGCATTCAATGTCTGCTTGGATGATCCCATACCACAACGGGAGATGGAGCAACTAAGGATCCTAGACTATTGGAACTTTTCCAATTATCTGCATCACCGCAAAGACTGGCAGATCCTTAACCCTCCTGAGGATGTCTGCAGCGACTACTCTGCCCCTCTTCCTCCTTCGAGTCAAGTCCATGATTATCTTCCGACTCCCACTGAGAAACGAAGAAACAGAAGAAAGAGGGCGGCTCGAGTTGCTGCATCTGCCAGTGAGTCCTCAGTGTCGGCTCCAGCCCCTGAGTAAGTCTGCAGTGACCAACCTTTTCCTCTTCCTTCACTGAGTCAAGTCCCAAATCATCTTCTGACTCCAAAGAAGCTCAAGTCGAGAAAGAGGAGAGCAGCCCACAACACTGCCTCAGTCGAGTCTGCTCCTGCCAATCCAGAGCCAGTCGAGTCCGCTCCTGCCAATCCAGAGCCAGTTGAGTCCGGTCGAGTCACCCCAGAGTCTGTCGAGTTCGTTCGAATCCTCCCAGTGATGGTCAAGGTTTCTTCCGTCATTCTTGAGTTGATGGAGAGGGTTGCAGTCACCCCAGAAGCGGCCAATCATGCACCTTTGAGCCCTCAAAAATGTAAGAAGAGGAGGGCACACATTGTGCAGCCAAACGCTCTTCTTCCAGAGGTCCCAAGCACACTGGTCCAGGAGGGCCTGAGTTCAGAAGTTGCCGATCCATTGGCCCAGGAGGGCCCGAGTCAGGTGCCCCTGAGTTCAGTGGTTCCAGAGGACCCGATTCTGATGATCCCTAATCCACTGGTCCAGGAGGACCCGAGTCAGGAGAGCTCAAACCCATTGGTCTAGGAGGGCCTGTATCAAGAGGCCCCCAGTCCAGAGGTCCAGGAGAGTTTGAGTCAAGAGGTCCCCAATCATGTGGTTCAGCAGGACCCGACTCAGTTGGTCCTGTATTCAGTGGTTCCAGAGATATACAGTCTGGAGCCAATCCCTAAGCCGCCTACTTCACTAGCTAAGCCTGTGTTGAAGGAACCTGAGACTGCACCGTCTGAATTATTTATGAGACCTGTTTTGTCCAAGGTGGGAACTCTAAACAGCACTGCTGCCTCAACAGAAACTGTTCATGACCTGGCCATGGAGGTCATTCCAGAGCATCTCACCCTGCCTGTTATGGCCATGGAGGCTACCTCAGAACAGCGAGCCAGTCCTGTTGTGCCCACAGAAACCAATCCTGTTTGTCATGTCATGCTTTCAGAAACAATTCCTGTTTCGGCCAGGGAGGCCCTTCCTGAGCATCTGAGTGCACCTGTTAGGGCCACGGAGGCAATCTTGGGTGTGATCTCCAGTCATGTTTTGCCCATGGAGACTGATCCTGTCTGTAATGTCATGCCCTCTGGTCCTGTTCTGGCCACGGAGACCCTTCCAAAGCATCCATGTCTGCCTGCTAAGGCCACAAAGACCGCCTTGGGTCTATCCAGTCTAGTCATAACCACATAAACAGAACCTGACAGTGATGTTACTTCCTCAGAATCTGCTCCAGCCCTGTTCACGGAGGCTATTTCTGTCCATCTTGATCTGCCTGCTATAGCCACAGAGGCTACCTCTGAGCTGCTCACTAGCCATGACTCACCCAAAGAGATCCTTTCTGCCAGTCAAAACACAGTCAAGAAGTCTGTATCAGCCCCAGCATTGTGTACATCTAGATCTGATAGAGCCTCTGAAACGGTGCATGATGTAATATTGGTGCAGGAGTCTTCAAAGTTATCCTCATTACCAACAAGTGCAGTTATGGCTCCTGAATTTGTTCCTGAGCATTTCCATAATCAAGAGACTGCATCTATTCGAGACACCAAACCTAGTTGGGAGTCCCCACTAGTGAAGAGGGCCCCTATCTCTAGAGGTGTCACTAATCGGGTTCCTATATCACCCTCAGTATTGCCTGGCTGTCATGCTCCTCCAAAGTTACCAGTCCCAAGATATTCCCCTGGACTGTTTTCTGCCCACCCAGCCCTGCCCCCTGTGTTTCCTGGCTACTCTGGACCTCCAATCTTTCCTCCCCACCTGCCCCCCCAGTTGGTACCTCCTTGATCCCTGATTAACCCAGTTCTCCCTTGGACCCCTTCATCCAGTGTGGATGCCTGGAGGCATCCATTGGAGGGGGGTACTGTCAGGCTCCTGAATCCCCCCTGGCTGCTGTTCTCAAGACCTGGCTATCTGACTGGACTGGTATCACAACAGCTCCAAGTATCAAGTCCTGGTTTCTCGAGCTGCTGCCTGATATCCAGTGTTCTCATTGACTGGGGCTACTCTATCTCCTTTGTTCTCCAGCAAGACTTTGTTCAGGTCTGACCAAGGACCAGCAGGCTGCCCTTTCCTACTGTTTGGACTCTCGCATCATCCCATTCGTTCCTTGTCTTGTCAATAGACCTCACTCACTTGATCATTCTGCTTCTGGGTCTCTCTCGTAAACTGCTGTGATAAAACCGTGACAATCTTGTCAGTGTCTGCGCTTGCTTGGCCATTTGTTGCGGAGAAAATAAGGAAATTGTGTTCAAGCGCCAGCAGAAAACAGTGTAAAGAAATAGTCTTTGAGAGAAGCAGTCTTTATCAGCGGAAGTTAAAAGCAGCTCGTAAGTGTATTTACTTGTCTCATTAGTGTTTAGTGCCGTTGTTGTTGCTAGGAAACACTTGTTTTGTTTACTGTGTGGAGACGTGCTGATATCGCGTTTGGTCTCATTCTGTATCCCGTATCTTGTCGGCGTCTGCGCTTGCTTGGCCATTTGTTGCGGAGAAGGGGGGGGGAGTGTGTCCAACTGAATTGGTTTGGTGTTTTGTTGGACGGGTACAGAAAGGCTTAGTTTACCGCAGCAGCGGTCGTGGCGGCCGTCGTGTGAGGGCCTCCTCGTGGTGGGACCAGGGAGTGTGGGGACCATCGACTCTACTGTGCGACTCCACCGGGCAGGGACACCGGCATGGGATGGGTGTTGCTTTTTGTGTCTCCTCTTTCCTATTGCTTGTTTTGCTTCTGTTTCAGTTTTTGTGGCAATTTCTTGCTATGTGTAGGTGAGTTGTTGTTTTTTGGCATGTGTGTTTGGCAGTGTTGTTTTTTAGGATTGCTGATAGGCTACTGTCGTTTGGTTTATATTGTTTGTATTTGTTGTTTATTTTAGTTTTGGTTGCATTGTGTCTGTATAGGTCTTTTATTGAGTTGTTTTGGTGCTTCGGCAGACTGGGTGGAGGTGAAGTGGTGTATATGTGTTGAATTTGTAAATGTGTATGTACATATGCAGTATGTGTGTGTGTGTGTGTGGGGGGGGGGGTTGTACATGCACATATATGTAGTTGTTTTTTTGGTGTTTGGCTTCGTATCATGTTGGAATCATTATTATACACTTATACCTTTTGTTCTTTAATATTTTGAATAGTTTTTAGCTTTATTTTTTTGTTTTTCATTTAAATGTTAAGTTTTGAAATTTAGTTTTATTCATTTGTCACTTTTATTTAATCTCTTTATTTTTTTAAATGTGTATAGGTAGTATTTATAATGTTTTAGCTTTTAGTTTTGGATCTGTTTTTAGTTGTTTTAATACTACAATTGATTGCTTCTGTTGTCCTCATTTGTAAGTCGCTTTGGATAAAAGTGTCTAATAAATGACTAAATAAATCAAATAAAATAAATATCATACACCCGGCGCAATGCGAAGGCAGGCAAGTGTTTTTTGCTAGTTTCAGCCCGATGCAGTTATCATTTTCACATCCTGCGCCAAGTTGTT